TAATAATAGTGAATTATCAATATATTATTATTTTGGATGAATTTGAAAGAATGGGTGCACAATATTGATGTTGGAAAAATCAGTGAGGAATATTGGAGAACAGTAATTACCTGTGTGGTGCTGTAGATGTTTGGTATTAGTTTTCCTAGTAACTAACATTGCACGGTTTATGGGTGGTATGTGTAAGACCCCGTACTAAAATTAAATAAGGATAATACTATCTCAAGATTTCTCAAATAAATAAAATGATGGTAGAAATTTTAAAATATTTTTGAAAGATTGGTCATAAAGTTTGAGTTTTGCGCGCATTGACTTTCATGTGATACTTAGTTTTGGAGGTGTTTAAGCTTAAGAATTATGGCCAGGTAAGTTTCTAAATGTTTTTTTGGCTCAATATAAAGATACCATTGAATTCAAAAGGTCGAGAAACCTTAGGAGATGTGATATGGAGTGTATTAGAACTTTAAAAGTATTCCGAAGTTAAAAACGCATTTTTGAGAGAATTTGAGTTGAAAAGAATTTGACACTACCTTAATATTTTTTGCCATAATTTTTCACCCTGATGTCCAATTGATCTGATGTGTGGACATTAAAGCCCAGACTTCAAAGGCAACAGAAGTGTATTTCACAAACATTTCATGAAATCAACTTCTAATTAGGCCAAAACTGTCTTGAAAATTCAGGCAGAAACTGGAGTCCATTTGAATGTAGCTTAGCCCTAGAAATTTAGGCATGATAGATAGAACTGATAAAACAGAAGATACTAGAAATGGAGCATGTTCGGACACCAATCATGTTCAAATGTGAGTGCACGTTTTACGGTGATCAGGTTCACGCTGACTGAACAATTTTTGACCCTATAAATACCCTAAGGATATTTTTTTAGGTCTGTTTAGCAACCTCCAACCCTAAGAAACTTTGAGGAAATGAAAAAGAGGAAGAATTGTCTAAATTGTGAAGGATGAATGCATAAAAATCACAACAAAACATGCTAGGATCGACTAAACTGCGGATATAGGAGTTTTTTCTCAAGATGATTAGGCTATATAATCATATTTTTTTTCATCCTTCTTGAATAAAATACATGATTTGCATCCCAGATCTATTCGTTCTTATTTTAAAAATCCAGTTCTTGACTCCTATTCTATATATGTGATAGATCTATAACGTTTTTACATTCTTTTTGAATATATGCTTTAATTTTTGAATAAACACATGTTTTACATCACAAATCTCATGTTATTGATTCAAAAACCCTAGTTCTTGATTATGATTAATTTAAATATGTTTCTTTGAGTTCTCTTGTATGATTGCTTGAAGTTGTTCTATTTGGACAATTGTGGAACTATGATTCATAATTACATGTGGATATTATGAAAATTTATAGAAATTATCTATTGTATGGGTGAGTGTGATGAATGTTGGATGCAATTGACAAGATATCGTGTGGTGCTTAGATAAGTTTCTTACCTTTAGGGGTTTGAAAGATCCCTATCAATTGTAGTGGAATTGTTTGGTTCCTTGTAAGGTTCAAGAATTTACACTATTTGCTCAATGTGATCGAGGCAGATGGCTAGTTACTATTCCTGGGAAGTTACGTCAATGCAGATGTATTGGTATACATGCTTCTTAAAAATGGTGTATCCGTATGAGGATTGGTTTGATGATTTGGATGCATGTGTGTATGGGTCACGATATTCTCGATATGTAGTTTCAATGCAGTCAACCTATGTACACGAGATATACTTGTTGTGACCATCTATTTCTTTGAGAATGAGTATTACTTATTATTGAACCTTACTGTTTTATACTATACACTTGAAATCTCATTAACTGTCACTGTTTTACTTCAAATTATTATATGTTATTTTACCAACTGAGACTTGTCTTATGATTTCTAAACATTGTTTGAGTTTAAGAAGGTTTTCCTACTAGGCTTGTTTGCTCACCCCTACGACATAAATATTTTTCAGAGTTTGGTGGTGACAACGATATAGGGTCTGGTGAGCAGGTGGAGTGAGATGTCGAGTTGGATCATGATGTGGATCCAGAAGTGGATGCTTAGAGAGTTTCTTTCTATATTTAGATTTTCTGAACTCCCATGTATCTAACAATGTTCATGAATATTTCTTTAATTTAGTTAGTTTCAAGATATTATTCGATTTTGGGATGTAACGTTAAGGAGATATTTACGTTGGATTTGGGATTTGCTTAGTTATTTATGTTGGGTGAAGGATGATGTTATTTATTTAATGGTTATCTTAGTACACTCTCATAATTCGATAGTTGATAGTTAGTTCATATTTGAATGGGAATTTGGGGCCTACAATTTACCTATAAATCCTTGAGAGGATCAATGAGTAGTAGTGGAGGACGGTAATTGTATATGTGGTGCCGCGGATACCTGATACTAGTTTTCATAGGAAAGCAAGAAGGTCAAAGTGTTTCTTAGGGTGCAAGGCCCCAAACCTCCTCGGGAATACTCCATGTATGGACTAGTTATGATTTAGTTGGTTATAATTGATACTTGTGTCATGACAAGTTCTTTAGATTAATATTCTACTATCCTTGCACTTTTACTGTTTTATGAAACATGTTATGCATATAATGCTTTCTATTGCATCATGTACCGATTTTTATTATATGATTATGTAGTAAAATTGTAGTGTGTTTACCCCATATATTATTTTTCAAAACCTTGATACTTTGAGAAAAATTATCCTATTGGGCTTGTAAAGCTCACCCTCCTTATTTTTCAGGTTGAGAATGGTGAGAGCATCTGGATTGGAAAAATCAAAGAATTGAAGTTAATTGAAGATTTACAAAACTTGATTAAAGACTTGTATTTTACTATTTAATTTAGAGAGTTTGTTGTAGTTTAAATTGAGATTTCGGGATAGTATAACCTTATTTAGAATGAATGGTTCATTGTATAATTTGGAGACTATATTATCAATTTTAATTATAATTAATGTAATAGAACTCTGACCCTTGTATTTTGAGATTATATGTGAATTATCGATATTGATTTTATAAGTTAACGTATCCGGGAAAACCAGGGCATTACACACCATCAACCCAACCCTAACTCCATCATTGTCGCCACCACCTCTCCATTTTCTATGCTACCACCATGATGGTAGTGATGGTTGATATCGTCATGGCAGTGTAGGTAAAGGTGGAGGTGGTGGTGGTGGCAGTTATGGGGTTGTAGAGGTGATAGTGGTTATGGGGTTATAGGGATGGTGGTGGTTGTCGTTGAGGGGTGGTGGTGATGGTGGTGTTGTGGAAGTGAATGGTGATGTATGTGGAGTAGTGGCTATTGTCAGCTAGTGGCGTATGTGGGCATGGGGTGTAGAATGAAAGGCAAAATTGAAAAATTAATAATTTTACACTTTAGGTACTTATACTAATCAAATAAGTTGACTCAAAATAATTTTCAAATTAAAAAATTAGTACTCAACACTTAAATTTCAAAGTATTTGTTTTTTAATTTTATCAAACAACACGTATCACTTTCAAGAAATTTTTGACATAACGATATAAGATAGTAATTATATGAGTTTTTAAATAATAAAAGATTTGTAAAATAGACAATATAGACCCGGGTATGAAGTTTTATTAAAGAGACACATCATGTCGACTTTTTTGTGCTTCTATTTAATCATGACATCATCCATAGCAAATTTTTACTAAATGTGATAGTACGAGAAATATTCTAATTATTTTGTGGTGAAAGTAAATTTAATCAAAAATACGAGAAAGGAATATGATATTTGACTTAAAAGGATGCTGTTATTTTTAACCATAAAATAAAATGATTCAAAGGTGTTCAAGATAAAGCATCCCAATGTATAAGAAGAAAAGATAAGCTACTGTTTATTAATATTTTCCTTTTTTTTTGTTTTGCAGAGGAGAGGGGAGAGGGGGATTTTTTTTTTTTTTGAACCTTTGATTTTAAGAAGACAAAGTCTTCACAAGATAAAAAATATCATTGAACCAAAGACCCATTATTAATGTTTTCCTATGTACTGTTCTTTTTTTTTTAAAAAAGTTTTTAATTTCTTTCTAAAATATTTTTTGTTTTTGTATGTATTTTTAATTTTAAAGAGGAAGAAAATACAAAGATTTTTTTTTTTGGGCAAGAGATTTGAACCTTTAACTTTAAAAAGACAGTCTTTAAAAAGTAAGAAATATCATATAACCAAATGCCAGTTTGTTCATGCTTGAAGCTTTCTCCTCCTCCTCTCTTTTCTTTTATGCTATGTTTGCAAAAAGTTAGAGAAAGGAAAACGAAAGAAAAACCACTTCCAAGCAGTGTAGGTAATCAGCTGAGCTCAGCATCAGCTAATTTTAGCAGCTTTGCCAAGTAATCGTTTTCAATCTGAGGTTACCTAATCCTAGTACCCATAAAATCATAGTAAATCCCAATACTACAGATAAGTAGCATGAAGCAAATTCATCATCATCATCAAGTACCCCTGAATGAAACAGACCCATTTCAAAATTTAACCAGCTCCTACCTATACAGAACCTGGTTCGTCATCAACTGCTGATCAAACTAAGGATTGGGTTGTGAGAACCTTTGAAACAACAAATTTCCATGAAAAATGGGTTATTGACGTCTAACTTCCAACGAATCAAGATATGTTCTTTAAAGTGTCATTGATCGGAACTGGCAAATCACCAGCTGCTGAAAGGGACGGATCACCACGAGAGGGGAAAGAAGAGAAGCAGGAAGAGAGAAATTTCGCCTCGTGCTTTTCCCCACTTTCCTTACCATTCCATAAAAGGAAAAGGGGCTTTCTCAGACCCTAACCGATTCTTTTACTTGTCCCTTTGTTTCATCTTCCTCAGCACCCAAACAATAGAAAAGTTTTTTCTTGCTGTTTTCTTTTCATTCCCTCCTATTTTCTTAGATCCACAACGTTGTAAATAAACTACCTAGATAATACCAAGTTAAACTTGAGAATCACAAAATCGAGCGATAAATAGTGATTTCGAGCAATTAAATACAACCTGGGCTAATATATTATGAAACTCGACAATGCAACAACATTTACAAAACAGATACATGTTTCCTATATTGCATACAGTTAACTTGTTAACAGATCTATATGGTCAATACACCATAAGTAAAAAATTCACCCCTTTAGCCTGATTCCCTCTTTGTACAAACACTTGCTTTTGTCTCCACCTGTAAATAGAACAGAATGTTCTCATCAAACATTTTTGTGTTAAATATAAACAAAGCAGTATTAAAACTCGACAACAAAGCTCAGTTTGGTCAGGAAAATTATTCCCGGCTCAAAAAGATATCGTCACTGATATCCTCTCCTGGCTTGATCAAAGAGCTGCTAAAATGGAGCAAGCATAATAGCTCTAGCAGTACGAGTAGCGGGAATATACATGTTCATCTCTTCACTTGCTGAAGGAAAAATGGTTGAAATAGCATAACTCAATGCTTATATGGGGAACGTTCCAACAAGTAAAATAATTTTAGAAAGATATTTGTAGGAATACAATGACAAGTTCATAATCCAAGCCACATTTTTATTTGTATTTTTTTTGAACTGGATAATCCAAGCCTCAAAAAACTCAAAATCAGGTGGTCATGGTGCAGCCTATCCAAACTTTATTTTTGGCTGGTGATTTTTCATACTAGAATCAATTATAGCAACACCTCTACTTGTCATGGATGTACACAATTCGTCCAACATTAATTTCGACAAGATAGCATACCCTCACCTAAAGACAGCCTTGCACCAATTTAGTGAAAAATAAGTGCTCTCCATTTTCCCACTCGGACAGATATCCGTGGAAGAACAATTGCCTTGTTTGAATGATTACTGATTTAGCAGTTGCTGAGAGAGATGCTTTGAGTGTAATTGTTTTGATGCCAGGCCCTGCAACTGGGTAGGTCCCACATTAGACTGATTCTGCAATTAAAGAGAAAATCAAATTAAATGAATCCACAAAAGCAAAAGCTCAAATTAGCCCAAGGAATCATGCAGTTACCATATCTTGCAAACTGTCCTGAATGCCAAAACAACTATGAAAAGTTTGTGGTCTGAATTGAAATTGCCCCTACAAGCATTCAAATATTGTTATTGGAACAAGCAATATAAATTATGTGTATTTCCACAAGAATTCTGATACTTGAAAAAGAAAACTCTCCACTTATCAAGGTATTAAGTGGTGCCAACGAGATGACAGCAATGGAAAATTAGGAAACCATTTCATTTCCAAAAAATTAAAACCTACTAGAAAGTATTGTCATCCTGTTGCAAAACCAAGTCCCTTCTCAAGCACATAATTGCTGAGCCTTACCAGCCCATGCAATCTTTGCTGAGCAAGGTAATGACCATCATGGATTGGAGCTATTGAACTTAATTGTCCCTACAAGATGAATAAAATCCGAGTTAATAGCCTGATATAAGACGAAAAAATAAAGAAAATTGAACAAACAAGCTGTGGTAGAAATGGTATTATAATTCACCAGGCCCTGCATGCTAGGTTGATCGCTATAAGAATCATCACGACTTGGAGTTATCATGTTTACTTGTCCCTACAACAAGAACCAAAGATACAGCTAAGATTGGATCATTGATATGAATTAACTCTAACTCCATGGTCAATAATACATTATGAGCATAGTTGAGAAGAATATCTCATACCATTCCCTGAACAATTTGTTGAGTGGCCAAGTAACCATCAAAGGTTGAAATTCTTGAGTTCAGTTGTTCCTACAACAAGTATAACACTTCTGATCTAAGAAACAAAAAGCTGTCAAATTACATTCAGAAGTCTGGGCACCATAAAATTTCCTTTTTAACACATTTTGATCACTATTGAATACACCATACCATCACTTGTATGCCCTGTTGCGATTCATAAGAACAATCACGGGCTGGTGCTCGCAAATTTGTGTTTCCCTACAATATTGGAACAATTCTTTACAATAATATCTATACTTTGTTATAAAAAAAACCTTAGGCCTATGTCTCTTTCAAGAATACAAGTACGCCAAAAAGGGAAAAATTAAACTCACCATTTGTTGCCAACCACTATGCATGCCTATGGTAATTGCCTCTAGTTCTGGCGTTACCTAAGGCATACGAAAAAAGGGTCTAATCAATCAAAGCCAACCATTTGAAAGAATTTGTAATTAACTGGGATTATGAGCATAATACATTGCAACTTACCTTTGGTTTTCCAGATACATTGTTCTTTTTTTGTGTCTTGCTTGTACAGTTACCTTGAGTCACTTCTTCAAAGTCGTGAAGACCATGAGTTGATGGAGAACTGGGCTCTAACACACTCTGAGTTGAGTTATTCACAGTCTCACACTTTCTCAAAGCTTCTTCAAGTGCATGGAATGCGATATTATAGCTTTCTTGAGATAAAGACCCTTCATCACCCAGTTTAAAGGCCCGCCGACATAACTCTGTGTATCGTTGAAACCTAGACTCAATTATATCTGTTTGCCTCATCGGCCCCCTATTCTTTGCATCCTTCGTCCAACGTTTCAAAATATATTGAGATGGGATGTTATGCACACCCAATATTTGAAGGACAATCATCACGTGTCTACAAAGGAAACCATTGAACTCGAACAAATGACAAGAGCAAGTAATATCAGAAGTTGTTTCATTCCAAACCACAATAAAATCTTGGTTCTCTTCAAAATCTTGAACCTTGAATGTTATGGTATCACCATCTTCACTTTCCTTTTTTGGATGACATGCAACCACTCCCAAAACCTCAACTTGGAATTTCTTGAATATGGCATGCGTGTACATTGTTGCCATTTGTTTCCCAAAAGGTGAGGGAGATTTCAACCCTGGTTGTTTATGCCACGTCTCAAAATCTGCTTTTGCTTCCTCTTCATACTTCTCTTGTAGAATTGCTTTGTATTGGTCTAAAAACTCTTTCAATGTAGTTTTCCGCTGAATGCATTTATCTAAGAAAGAGGTTATACTCTCCAACCTTTGTGCTGTAGACATCCCTGCCAAAAAAATGTCTCTCATGTATGTAGGAATCCATCGTTCACGATCTTCATACAATGATTGAAACCATACATCATTTCTTAGTTCAAATCTATCACACATTTTCCACCATCTCTTTTCAAACTGTTCATCTGTACCCGACTTTAAAATACATTTGTTAAATTTACTAAGAAAACTTCCATGTTGTCTCATCACATAACTAAGCTTTTCCTGAATCTTGCTCAATATGTGCCACAAACAAAAACAATGGCGAGAATTTGGAAAAACCTCAGCGATAGCTTCTTTCAATGTAATGTCTTGATCAGTCAGTATCACCTTTGGAGCTTGTCCTCCCATTGCTCTAAGCCATGCCTGCATTACCCATATGTATGTGGATTTACTCTCATCTGCAATCAGTGCACATCCAAGCAACAGGAACTGACAGTGATGGTTTACCCCAATAAAGGAAGCAAAGGGCAATTTATATTCATTCTTGATATATGTAGTGTCAAAAAACACTACATCACCAAAGTTCCCATAATCAAGCCTAGCCTTGGCATCAACCCAGAAAACATTTCTCAAACACAGATCTTGATTCAAATCTATTGCATGGAAGAAGTTGGGATTCTCATCTTGCATGTACATAAAATGTTCAAGCATCACTTGTGCATCTCCTTCCTCTAAGGCCAAATGCTGTCCACTAACACTGACAGTACCACTCTTTTGATTCTCAACTTTCTTCATTCCACCAGACTGTTTAGACATTGTCACATACATTTTTTTGGTCCTTGCTCTGATAGCATGCAGAGCATCAACATTACTGTTACCTAGCTCTATATTCCTGTGACCTCGAAAGTAATAAGCTTGATCTGGAAAAATTTCATGGTTATGCTCCTTTTTGAAACTATGAATAATCCATATTCCATCCTGCCTTCGTTTAACATGCATGCAAGCCTTGCAATCTGTTTTTGACCAAGATCTATTTATTCTACCTCGCTTTCTCTTGACAGGAATGCTTGCGATTCCATCTGCATTTGACACAGGCTCTGGGGTTTCAGCCATAACAGAATCTCTCTTGCTTCCATATCTAGTACAGACAAATTTTGCATCAATAAATTTGCCAGATATTCTTGATCGGCGGCTGGCCTTTATTATAGTGGCAAATCCAACGGACTTTGCATATTCTTTATAAAATGAAAAAGCATCCTCCTTGGATTCAAATTCCATACCATCACGAGGCTCTAAATCTTGATGAGAATTCACAGCTACCCCACCTCCAGAGTGCACTTGGTTTTCGCTATTTGATGTGCATCCTCTCACGCTTGGTACAGTCTTCTCTCTATTATGTTCAATGATCTTAGGACAACAGACCGTGGCTCCATCATTATTGCGCACTTCACCTCCAGCATCCTCCATATTTACAGACTCATTTGGCCTACTGTCATCCTTATGATGTTCTACTGATGGCTGTTCAAGGTCTATTCCCATTGACAGATATTTTTTTTCTTTTCCTTAGTTAAATTGTTTACAAGGTGCCTGAGGAAACAGTTAAAACATGCAGTCACTGATTGTAGACGATACCCATAATAGGACAGTAAACTTTTGCATTCTACAAAAATTTACCCAGGACAGTATTAAGAAAATATCCATTACAGCTCGGACTTCATCAATGTCAAAAAGTGATGACTCTAACTTAGCCCATTCGAGTAAATGTTCATATAAATGGTTCCGAAGCAGGGACATATGAACAAAACAAGTGAAATTTGTCCAAATTGCTGAAAGAAACCATTAACAAATCAATTAGAATTCAATTCATTTAAGATGTTAAAATTAAAAGCAACATGAAACAACAAAAGCCATAGAAGTAGGGCGTGAAAGAGAGAGAGAGAGAGAGAGAGAGAGAGAGAGAGAATAAAATAATAGCAAGCAATATAGTTAATTAATACCAAGATGTCTTCAAAAACTTGAGATTGGAGAGTTTGGCCCAGGTGAACAGTTTATTAACTTTCAAATAACTATGGCGTTTGAACAATTGTTTATGCTGTGGTCATGTGCACAGAAAAATAAGAAAGAAAGATATACACACATTCCAACCACCCTCTTGACAATGTTAGCCCGTTATTTATGTAAGTAGGAGTCTTATCCCTTATTTATGTGCGTGTCCGCCTATATATAAGTCTGTATGTAAGTTTGTGTGTATATGTGTGTGGTTGAATTTGTATAAAAGTATAAAGAAAGAAAAAAGAAGAAAAAGGGACAAGATAGAGAAAGTTTATAGTTGTGAAAGAGTCAAAACTTGGTTCTCTCCCTCGTGACCATATGTTAATCGTGACTTGGGTTCTCTCATATTGTTCTTTTCTTTTGTGTTTTCTGTTTCTTTTCTTGGTGGACTTTATCCTTCCATGAACTATCTTTTATTTATAAAACCTCTTTGTCATTGACGAAAAATAAAAATAAATATATCGTAACAATTTATCCACAATTTCCAATAATTCTAACAATTAACATAACGAATTATAAAATAAGAGAAATGGTATGAAACATACAAATATTAGTAAATAATTTACATCCATGGTTCAACGTTCAATAAATTATTACAATTTCAATTTCCAAAAGCCCCCCATTCGTAAACCATATTGTCATTGGATTTCAAAGAGCCATACGTTATCATAGTTTTCAACAATTTATTTGCATATAAATATTGTATTCTCGACACAACTAATCCCAACTATTCGAGACTGGTACATAAATCTTATTTCTTCATTGTGCTCTATCAAGGGTCTTAGTTTCCGTTAAACCATAAACTATCATATCTTTTACACTATTTCGTTCAAAGTTAATTTCAGTCTATCTCTACCTTGCATTACCATTGATATGTATCAAATCACTCCCTCACTAGTGCATCATTAGGTCTTCTATAAGCATATCCAAACCAGCTACATCGATTTTCTCTTAATTTATCTTCAATTGGTTCTATCAATGTTATTTAAGGCGTAAAGTAAACTGAAGCAAACAAATCTCTTGAGGCTTAGGAGAGAAGCGAGAGGTGAATCGAGCACTTCATTGAAGTGAAGCAAACAGTAAAAAAACAAGTAATATTTTAGTTTAATAATGTAATTTGAACAGGAGTAGATTCAGCATCTAAACAGAAGCAGAATCAGCATTTAATGATAATCAAACAAGAGCAGAATCAGCATCTAAACAATTAACTGATTAACACAGTAGTCCAGCAAAATCAGTATCTAAAAAGATTGAACACACTTTAAGAGCAGCTTAATACAGCAGAATTAGATTGAACACAGATTAACACAACAGTCCAGCAGAATCAAAAAATCAGAAACACAGCAAGAAAAAAAAAAGAACATACCTTTTGTGTAGAAGAAGAAGAGGGGAAGAAGTAGAAGAAAAAGAATATAGGAAGAAGTAGAAGAGGAGAAGGAGAAGAAGTACCAGAATGAAAAAGAAGGGGAGAAGAAGTAGAAGAGAAGAAGAATCCAAGGACATCTCTTTGGCATCTGTCCAGAAGAATCATTAAGTCGATCGCTTATTCGCTTCTTCAACTATTCTCACTTTTCTCTCGCTTCACCTATGGCGCTTCGCCTAGCCTGCTTTAGGCGACATAGGGTTGCTTCGCCTCACTTCTCGCCTAGGCAGGGTTCTACTTCTACAGTTTTATGAATCTACTTATTCCTACTCTATCCTCATTTTCACAACAGTTAGTTTTTGAGCATACCGGTTCTTAATTGCCCAACATTTTACATTATAAAGCATTACTGGTCTAATAACTGCCTCATAAAACTCACCTTTCAACCTATGGGGCATAACATTGAAGTATCCCCTCTTGGGTATCTCTTGATCTTCGATCTTTCTGCCTCCCTATATTAGCAAAACTACATACCATATTTTGTTTTATTTTTACTTATACTAAATCATTTTGATTCTAAAGTTTCTCTCCAAATTTCTTTTTTTTTGTGTTTAATTATTACTTTAGTTTTATCTATCAATACTATCATTGACAAATAATATACGCAAGGTTATCTCATTCTGAATGTGTCTTCTCCATTCATCCATAATCTACTAAGATTAGGAATTCAGTACTTTTCCCCCATAGTTGTTCTGACTAAAGTCAGAACACACTCATAACACATCTTTAATCATATCAATATATCTGTTTGTAACTCTCTTTTTCTTTGAAACCCGACATATTTTGTTGTTAGGAACTCTATCATATGCCTGATCTAAGTCTATAAATACCATATAGATCTATTTTCTCTCTTCACCTTTCCATTTGTCTCCTAAATAAGTATTATAGTTTCCAGGATTGACCTCCTAGACATAAATTCAAATTTATTCTCCGATACAGTGGTTTCACATCTTGATGGTTGCTCAATTACTCTCATTCAAAGTTTCATTGTATCACTCATTAACTTAATACCTCGATAATTTTTGCAGATCAGAATGACCACTTTATTTTTATATATAGGTACTAAAGTACTCTTCCTTCACTCATTTGGAATCTTCTTAATTGTTATAATCTCATTGAAGAATTTGGGAGTGGAGAAGCCATTATAGACATACTGGATTGTTTGTTGAACCATATTTTCTACTTCTTGACCAGAAGTACATTCTTGAAATGCCCATCTGCAAAAGCTAAAAAAGGTAGATTCTCAAAACCTGATGTTTGCACTTCAAGCGAAGTTAGCTGCTCTCATTTAGCTGCTCTCATTTAACTGCTCTCATTTAAGTAGTTTCACCGAATTCCTATATTGTCCCTACAATCTTGAAATCATTGTTTAGTGGGACTATCAATTAATAGTGCTCTTTGATTTATGGTGGTTAAATGATCGTAATTGTTAAGTTGAGTGAATTAACATAACACAATATTAGAGAGAAAGAGAGAGGTTAAAAACTTAACCTAACTCTCATACATCACTTGTATTTATAGTTAACCTACAGTAATAAGAATTATACATACACCCTCTTATTATTAACAATTTACACATACTACCCTATTATTCTTAACACTCCCCCTCAAGCTGGACTATATATATCATATAATCCAAACTTGGAACAAATAGCTGTAAGACGTGTACGACTCAATACTTTGGTAAACATATCTGCAAGCTGATCTTCAGATTTCACAAATGGAGTTGTAATCTCCCCAGCTACTATCTTGTCTCGAATAAAGTGACAGTCAACCTTAATATGCTTGGTTCTCTCATAAAACACAAGATTGACAGCGATATGGATAGTTGCTTGGTTGTCACAGAACAACTGTAAAGGAAGTTGAACTGGAAACCCAATTTCTTGGAGAAATTGTAGTAGTCAAGTCAACTCACTCGTCGTATGTGTCATTGCCCTATACTCAGCCTCAGCATTGGATCTTGCTACCACGGGTTGACAGTACAATAACCAGTGGTTGATCTTCGATCAAAAGGAGAGTCAGCCCAATCAGCATCTGAGAAACCTTCTACCCTAAGATGTCCATTAGCTCGATATAACAGTCAAAGTCCAGGAGCTCGTTTGAGATATCGCAGAATACGAGTAACTGTCTCCCAATGTGGTACTATAGGACATCTCATGAACTGACTTACTATACTAACTGCATAGGAAATATCCGGTCGAGTAATAGTGAGATAATTAAGCTTCCCAACCAATCTGCGATACCGACCCGGATTTTCAAACAATACACCATCATCCATCAATAATTTCTGATTCGAATCCATAGAGACATCAATCGGTCTACCACCGAGCAAACCTGCTTCCTCAAGCATGTCAAGTACATATTTCCTCTGAGATAAACAAATACCCTGTTTAGATCGAGCCACCTCAATACCTAAAAAATACCTGAGTTTTTTCAAATCCTTAGTATAAAATTGATCCTGTAAGAATATTTTTAACTTGACAATCCTCTCAGAATCATTTA